ATATATCAAGAATGAATAGAATTGGGGAGCCAGCATTGTGACCAGGCAGGGTGAGCCGTTCCTGCGACAAAGCTGACATCTCATCATAGAGTTGGGCTAAGTTCTCACTGCTCTCTACTAATGCATCTAAAAAAGCAGCAGAGATGGCCCATTCCCAGCCCAAATAACTGCAACAGCCAGGCCTGGGGCAGGCAGAAGCCAGGAGCCTGGAATGCCCAACTCCTATGTGCGTGGCAGGGATCCAAGTCTTTGGACCATTACCATCCACTACTCTTCCAGGCACACATGCAGGAATCAGGATTGGAAGTGGAACAGCCAAGACTCACAATGGAACTCTGATGTGGGATGCCAGAGCCTCAAGCAGTGGCTCAACCCACTGCTTGATGCCAGCTCCATGAGGATAGTTTTTGGTTACAGAAAACATTTCTTTTTTTAAATCCTAATAGAATAATGTAGAGTTTGAAAGCACTGTGGCAAAAGGAAAATGATACAGGAATCGCACTAGTCATTTTCCTGTTCTCCGTCCAGTTACCTACTCATCTGCTGTGGATCTGATACACACACTTGCAAACTCTGGATTTTTAATAAGTTTTCTGAAATCCAGTCCCAGATGATGGGTTCCACGGCTCTGGGAACTATGCTTAACTGACTTGTAGTGGTCACTCTGTTAACATTTCTGGCTGCAATGCAGAGAATGCAAAAATAGAGCTTTTCACACAGGGAAACTGAGCTTTCCCTGGGCTTCTAGGCCACACTAGATAGTGGGGTTTTTCCAGCACTTCCTCACTGCTCGCCATCCCCTGGGAAGGAATGGCCAGGCTTCACTCCTTGCACTAGGATCTTTGATGGGTGGTGAGCCATGAAAGACACCACAGGGGTCAACACGGGGTTGGTGGGGGAGGGAGGGCTCAGGGCACCTGCGGCTCAAGCAGGAAAGTCGGGGTCATTTGCAAGACAGCTCACAGATACTACAGGGACTGTCAAAGAACGGGAGAATCACTCAAGATCTGCAGAAAGAGCGTGCCAGTGTTAACGGGACAACTCTGGGCTGCCAGCCAGGTGAGGGCGGTCTGCCTGGCACTCTGCCATTGCCGCCGGAAGTTCAAGGGAAGGTCACCAGGGAGCTTGGAGCACTGGATTAAAGACAGGAAAGGGCCGGAAGATACTGATGATTTTCTACGCTCTGACATCCACCCTCAGGGCTGTCCATTCATCATCCTAACGGCTGTGGAGAACCAACTATAAACCTCGAAGGCTTGCATTTCACTCAGGGCTGCCATGAACTTGAAACACAAGGAAAGGTGGTTTCTGGCATGCAAGGCAGGCTGTCTGTACTGTGCTCACACCCCTGGGGAGGGCCAAGGGGCAGGCGCTTCTGCCTGCACAGCCGCATGCTCCATCCGTCTGGACTTTCTGTGTCTGCCAATGCGTTTGGCATTGCCTGCAGGCATAGGTGCAGTTTCGGCACAGAAACCGCACTGTCCAAGCATGCCCTCAGTCAAGGTACACAGATGCTGCCTATGCAAGCCCTTCTGAATCCACCGGATTGCACAGTGTATCCTTATCATGCCTGGGACCATCCTGAGCAGACAGGATGCCTGGAAAGGAGTAGACTCCTGAGAGTGGAGACAGCCCCATCCAAGCTACAGGACACAAGGACATTCCACGAGAAACACAAACAGTTGTGCCCTTGGAGCCATCTGGCATCAGAAGTGGGCCCCAGAAAGATATCCTGGAGCTTGGCATCCCCAAGCTCCCAATTAGCATCCCCAGTTGGAGTCCAGTTCCTCTCTGAAACAGCGGAAATGAGAGACACAGCTGGCCTGGCCACAGGAAGGTCCTGCCCTCCATCACACTACTTTTTCAAAAAATTAATTATTTAAAAGGCAGAGTTGGTGGGAGAGAGAAACAGAGAGAGAGAGAGAGAGAGAGAGAGAGATCTTGCATCTGCTCCTTCACCTTAAATGCTCACAACGACCAAGGTTAGGGCAGCCTGAATCAGAAGCCAGGGATACGGGCCTCAAGTACTTGGACCAGCCTCCATTGCTTTCCCAGACCCTAAATAAGGAGATGGCTCAAAAGTGGAGCAGCCAGGACTCAAACCAGCATCTGTATGGGATGGTGGTGTTGCAGGTGTAGCTTCATGCGCCACAGGAGGGTGGGGATGAAGCACAAGTCCTGGCCCAGGCCCCAAGGCTCACAGCCAGTGGGTCCCCCGAGTGAGCTCCACTTCCTGGGGGGCTCCAGGACTCTCAGAGCACATCCTGTGGGGAGGGGTCGTGCTCTTCCTGCCAGCCAACCTGATCATCTCTTTCCTGGAAATCCCACACTGACCGACTAAGACTGGCCTGTTCACTCACTCTGTTTCTTGGCTCATCCCTATATCCTTCCTTGTCTATTTCCTTGGTCCAGAGTCTCATTTTCCCAACCCAAGAACATTTCATGATCTCATCCTGAAACTACTACTACTACTAATAATAATAATAAAAACTGGTGGGGTTACTAGCCTGTCTGTTCTACTAGACCATTGGGTCAGTGACTTCCCTCCTAGACTGCAAGGCTCAGCGCCAAGCCCTCAAACTATTCTCCTGATTCTCAGGGTATTTACTCATGCACCCATAGATTTGGGTTCTAATAAGTCCATCTCTTTTGGCTGCTGCCATGGCTCAACAGGCTAATCAACCTCCACTTGTAAACATCAGCACCCTGACTTGTGTTCCAGATGTTTTACTTCCTCCCAGCTCCCTGATCATGGCCTGGGAAAGCAGCAGAGGATGGTTCAAGTCCTTGGGCTGCTGAAATCATGTGGGAGGTCCAGAAGAAGCTCCTGGCTCCTGGCTTGAGATTGGTCAGCTCTGGCCACTGAAGACACTCAGGGAGTGAACCAGTGGATGGAAGATCTCTCTCTCTCTGTCCTTTCAAATAAAAGAAAATCATTTTTGGAAGAGAAAAAGTCCATCTGGGAACTGGGGGTGTTTAGCTCAGCAGTTAAGATGCCCACATCCCATTAGACTGCCTCGGTTTGATTCCTGCCTTTGATGTCAGACTCCAGCGTATTGCTGATACAGGTCCCGGGAAGAGTGATGAAGGCTCAAGTCCTGGGCTACTGTCAGCCACACGGGAGACCTGGATCGTGTCTCCAGCTTCCGGCTTCTACTCTGCACGTTCAATTGTTGGAAAGTGGGGAGTGACCCAGCAGCTGGAGGCTCTCTCTGCCTCTCAAATAAATAGGATACTTTTAATAAGGCAAGATCCACAAGCTCTGATTTCTAAGCAACAAAAGGCAATGCAACCGTGTAGTTAACTGAAAATGTCAGGGCTTGAAATGTTCAAGGACATCGGCATTATCCCATAATTCCACTTTCCCATGAGCTTTTTGCATTTACTGGTATTCACTGAGCTTTGTATACCCTCTCATGTCACTTTATTTTTAAAAATAAAGGCAAGTCATTAAATACAAAAATAAGTTCAGTTTAAAACTGTCTCTACTTTTCAACGGTATGGAGACAGACTCTCTCTCTCTATATATACATGTAAACATATATAATATATAAGTATTTATTTATTAGTATATTAATATGTATTTATTAAGTCCATGAATCTTGACTTTTGGGCTTGAAAGTTAACATCTCTTGCATCGTGTCTTACAGTGTTGCCTTCCTCTCCTTCTGCCTCAGCAGTTAAGTTCGATCATCACACAGATGTGCCTAAACTTTTGACAATGTCATGCCTTGATAAACCCAGCAGACAGTGAAAAGCACTTACATAGCAGCCACACACCAGCACCTCTTAACCTGCTGAACACGGCGCTCAGCCCCATGGCACACAGTGGAGCTCTGCCCTGACCCTGTGATCCCAGAGCTGTGCTCACTGCTGCTCCCGCCTGCTTTTCCAGGGAGGAATCATACATATCACTAGGTTCAAATCCAGAATTCACTAGTCTGAGGTTGATGCTAAATGTGGAAAGCTTCCACTCCATTGTAAAGTTTCAACCTGATGAGCCAGGGCGGTATGGATCCTGCTGAGTGCCATTCATCATCTAGGAAGTCTGTTGTTGGGGCCACCAAGGTGGGGACACTAGGTCCAGGCCTGAGGAGAGCTCAGCACAGTGCTCTGAGACAGGGACTGAGCTGCACAGAATGGACCCTGGTGCCAGGTCACAATGACTGTGGGAAGTAACTGTAGTCTGAACTCTACCACAACTGGCAGCACAGCCACACATCCCATCCGCTTCATGCTTTACTTCTACAACAGCTTAGCCGCCCCTTACAATCATGGCACAGTTACAAACCTTCCCACAGACAGTGTTCAAAACTTTGAGTTTCAGGAACCCCATAGACAGCACATAAAGGCCTCCTACATTCCCCACTCACATGCCTGGTTGTCCAATTCCCACATCTTGGGCTAGCTTATCTGTCACCAAGGAAAGGATGTGAGATGCAAGAGAAAAACAGCCCTAGCACAAACCCAGAACCAGCTAGAGCAGGCAGGCAAGAAACGAGGACTGGATCATCAGAAACAGCTAGGCGGGAGGTCACAGGCTGGTGGCCTGCAGGCCGGGTGCAGTCAGTGGACATGTTTTGTTTGGCTCCCACAAGGCTCAGAAAACATTTTAGTTAGCTCCAAAGTCATGAGAGGTCACACAAAAAGGAGGATTTCTGTTTTTATTGAAAAACAAGGAATCTGGCAGCATTTACCCTCCCTGCGTGTTCCTGTGAGTGAGATGTGAGCTGGAACCTTCCATTTTTCCACATTCTCCACCATGCCCTTTTGTTCTATCTCTTGCCCTCTACACCCAACAGGGGCCACTACAATTACTGATCTAAAGGCAGAACTCTCTAGAATATTTTCTTGGGCCATACCAACTTACTTTTGAAGTCCAGGATTGAAAAAAAATCCTGATAACTCCGGAGGCAAAGTGTTTGTCAAATCGCTGTTCCAGCCTACAAGCGAGAGCACTGAGTGACCCCAGAAGGTTCTCCCCAGGCTGCCCTCCTTACCTTCTGCCACATGTTGATGAAGAAGAGCTCCCGGGACACGTTGAAGGACACAGTGGCATCATAGGCGTCGTCTCCCAGGTTGGAGATGGAGATGTTTAGGGAGATGTTCTTCACTGCTCCCAGAGCAAGATATGGGGTCTTTTCATCAACACTGTAATGGGAAGCAAGCAGCACTTAGTGCCCTAAAACATATTAACATTAACATGAGGCATCAGGGATGGCTGGGAATTGTGGAAAGAAAATGGGGTCATAACTTCAAGGTCCAGAAAACCCCTCAACTAGCCATGTGTCCCCAGCAAGCACTTGGCTCCAGGAGGTCTCAGCTTCCTTGACCCACACACACAGCATTTTGCCTTGTCTCACCAAGAGGACTTGCTACACGGCTCACATGATTTGCACACCCACTCAGAAAACCCAATGGACACACTCAATAGCCTGTCCACGGAATTCATGGGCGAATGAGTTGTTGGTCTCGATTCTCTTTGAGCACCTGCTATATGCCAGTCACTGTCTTTCGTGCCAAGAGAACCACAGAGTTCTTGTAGCTTCATGAAGTGAGGAACCACTTACATGAGGAAGCACACTGGAGTAAGAGCAGCTATGGAGAAAACTTACAAGATATAAGAGAAAACGTTAGGGAAATTGACCACCAGAGACTTGAGAGCCACCTGTGGAAAGGAAGTAGCCTTTACTCTAGGGACACCAGTATAGGTCACTCCATAATGGCTGGGCCCAGACACAGCAGTTGCATGTGCCATTTTCAGCACTGATGGGGGCAAGCCAGTGTGGATGGGTGGGATATAGAGGCTAGTACGTACTGGTTAACTTCTGGGCTATTACAACCTCAGGAACTCCCTGAGTTCTTACAGTCAGTATTTCCTTATCCCCTTTCTTAACCTCAGCACTCTTCTCTTCACCTGACTTGGCTGTTCCTGTGAAGCCCAATTTCATGCTACATGCCCACCATGTCCTACATGTGAGCTTGGTTTTTACCCACATGCCTGCTGGCTTCCACAGCCAAAGTGCCATATTTTGATGTGGGTGGGGTGGGATGCAATTGTAAATAGTGTGGAAATCCTCTTTGTTGAGGGGATCTCTCAGCAGAAACCTGGAAAAAAGAGAAGGGCAAGGTATGCGAGTAACAGCGGCAAAGTCCTAGAGGTAGGCATGTCCCTGGTGTCCAAAGGGCCGATGAGGCTGGAGAGGAGAGGGAATAAGAAAAGTGAATGTTGGAAGATCAAAGGCCTGGGGGTTGGCAGGCCAAGCAGGCTCTGATGGCCATCATTAGCTTAGCTCTCTCATTTGAGCCTGAGCCAAATGATTCAAGGGGGTTCACATGACCACGTGGGTGAATAACATAACAAATGCTTAATGGAGAAGCAGGGAGCAAGGCTAGGAAGATGCTCCTGCAGGATGCAGGCCGGGCCCGTGAGAAGGGAGCACAGGCTAAAGCTATTCCAGAAGTTGTACTGACAGCATTTACTTAAGACTTGACCAGGAAGTTAGAAAATGAGGAGTCCTGGGCTTTGGGATTGAGTAAAGTGGAACAGAAGAGCTATTACTGGATAAAACGGGAGACACTGTAGGCCAAGAAGGGTTAGAACAACCCTATGCTGCCTGCCTGGGTGATCACAGGAGATGCTGGAGATACTAGGGCAGACAGATCTGGGCCAGACACATATTTGTGATGGAATAGGCATGGTTGCCAGGGAGCAGAGAGAGAGGTCTCTGGTTGAGGAATAGAAGATGAGAAGGAGGCAGGCATAGACACTGAGCGGGACTGGCTGATGGGACAGAAGACCAAGAGAGATGCTATCACCTGTCACAGTCAGTCTGTCCCACTGCCAGGTGGACCAATGCAGGAGGAGGGATTAGAACAGTTCCAGCAGAACTTGGTAAGAATGCTCAAGTAGCATGATGAACTTCATGGAAGAGGCTTCTAAAGATGCAGGAGGGAATAAAAGCAGCATGCACAGGAAACTACTCAGGAAAGCTTTTCTACAGAGAGGAGCAGCTGAATTATAGATGAATGGGGTTGGTGGTGCAAATAAGGCTCAAAGGAGCATTTTTTTAAAGATTATTTTTACTGTAAAGGTTAGGGTTAGGAGATACAAAAAGATCTTCCATCTGCTGGTTCATTTCCTCAAGTGACTGCAGTGGCCAGAGCCAAGCCAATCTGCAATCAGGAGCCAGGAGTCTCTTCCGGGTCTCCCACATGGGTGCAGGGTCCCAAAGCATGTGCCCTTCTTTATTCCTTTCCCAGGCCACAAGCAGGAAACTGGATGGGAAGTGGAATAGCTGGGACGTGAACTAGGGCCCGTATGGGATTCTGGTTCTTGTAAGGTGAGGATTTAGCCACTGAGCCATCACACTGGGCCTGGAGAATTATTATTATTATTATTTTTAAAAGACAATTATTCTCAGAGGGCAGATGCATGCCTTTGGGAAGGATTCACTCCTGAGGACAGAAGACAGGACTGGAAACCCATGCAGGGCCAGGCCTGGGGAATGACAAGAAGAGGGGAGGAGCTGGCACTGCAGCTGTGTTAACCATATCCTGCAACGTGAAACAGGAGGGCCAAAGACTGAGGGGTGCAGGAGAAGGGTGGTGAGCAAATGACGCAGGTGGCAGACTGGCAGAATAGAGCAAGGCTAAGGCTGACGCTGTTGGTCAGTGCATGAGATGGGTGGTGATTGTGTGATGGGCGCTGTGGACAGTCAAGTCCATGTCGCGGACCGGCTGAAGCAGTGGATGTAAGATGGGATCAGCACAGCAGGGTCTGTGAAATGGGCTGTGGTGACTTCTGGCTGCCCAGTATCTTGACCTTATCCTGTCATGGAACTCTGAGAGCTGGCAGCAGAGGTAGAAAGTGTCAACCCTAACCCTGTACCTCTTGATGGTCATTACAGTGTGGGCTCTGATTCACTGCAACATGTGATCTATGGGTGTTGAGGTGGCGTCATATGCTGACAGATGTTCTCTGCCTAGGATTATGAATGTGGAGGCCTGTCCAAAGCCAGTTGTCCCAAGATCACACAAGATTGCTGTAGAGGCATTGAGAGCCCTGAGGTAACACCGTCCGGTGTGATCAGTGTGTCTAGCCTGAGCTTCTTCTTGAGCCAGCCTATATCCTCCTGATAAAATGCCTTTTGTACATGAAATAGCTAGCATATGTTTTTGTTGTTTGCAACCATTAACACAGCTAGTACAGCATGAAAGAGAATTATCACCAGATCACAACAGGCCATGCTACTTTGAAATATGAACTCGGGAGGGAGCATCGCCATTACCCACCCACGAAGTGAGGCCCTCGGCCTCCTGCACGTCTGGCACACCAGCAGGAATAACATGTGCAGTGAGCCATTGGAGGGCCAGCCTTTGGAAATGAGAACTCTAATGGAGATGTGAAAAATGAACTCAGGGCTCTGAGTTTCAAATTCTTGAATGATCTCCAACAAATGAAGACCCTGACCCTGGGTGAGTGTGGCCATGATTTATTATTGTTGGCCACTGTCATTCTCAACAGTCAGCGGTTTATTTCTGTCCTCATGTTTGCTTTTGTAAGAATCCAAGAGGAATCCTTGGGCTTGGGACTGTGAGGGAGTTAATAGTTTCACCTCCAAAAGCACTAAGTGGCAAGCCCTGTTCATTCCAGGGCTGTTGATGGATGCACCTCCTCTTCTTGGGTGTCAACGTCAGGGGATCAGGCCAGCAACATGTAAGCCTCCACCATCCCCCCAAACTCTGCCACCTGATCACACAGCAAATTGGGGGTCTCTGGGACGAAGGGGGAGCCAACACCTTGCAGGGCAGATTGTAAACCCACATGCTACAATACAGTCCACAAAGTTGTCTTCATGTTCCCTCTAATGTTTAGATGTCAATAACCAAATCAGCACACTTCTGCTTCCAAAACTATTCCTAGAAATGAAACAAAAACATGATGAAACCTCACAGCACTGGAAAGGGCCTGGACTCGAGGCCGTCATCTAACTGATCTAATTGCAGAGGCTTACGGTGAGCCAGCATGGAAGTGCTAGAATAGGGTGCCCAGTGCCTTCCCAGCCTCACAGCCATTCCTTCCTATCACTGCCCACTGTCCCCTCTGCCAGGAGGCTCACAGCTTTGCCCCACTGAGGTGAGATAAATCCCTGTTAGCTGGCCAGCCCTGTGCTCCATCAACCCCTGTGCTCCAGCCCTGTGCTCCATCAACCCCTGTGCTCCATCAACCCCTGTGCTCCATCAACCCCTCAAGGCATTCGCTCCAAGGCTGTGGTTGTACATCACTTTGTGTGGCTACTTGAAGAACTCCTTCTCTGTTCAGCCCTAGATCTGAACAGCAGCAGGCAGGAATTCAGATCTGCTTTTACACATCCTTGGGCTTTATGCATCTCTGCCACCCCAGAGGCAGTATTGTGCCTGATATAAAGCTTTCTCCAGGGATATCAGAGATGGTTCTGCAACACCTCAGTGAGCCCCTGTGCAATATTGGGTTTAGTCATTTGTCTTCCAGCAGGACTGTAAGAGAGATGCATCATTCACAGTAGGTATACAAGGAAGCCCTGCCGAATTGATGAACGAATGAATAAATGATTGAATGAATGAGTGGACATTAATGTTATCATCAGTGCCACCACAGGCCATGAGCTGAACCTGTGCATTTTACAATGGAAGAGCCTGAGCCTGTGGAAGACAACCCATTCAGTCATGTCCTGCACATGAATGAGCAGGGACTGGGCTGGAGCCAGCACCGAACTTCTTTTGCCATGAAGGGGTCTTGAGAATAAATCCCGCCTCAGTCTGAAAGGGGTCTGGCTGAAGTCTTCTCATGACATCTGCAAAGAGAAGGGCCTGGCTGCACCCCCAGCAACCCTACCAAAAGATGAAAACAATCAGGCACCAGAGTTCTAGGCCAGACATTCCACGGTGCTCATTTATTTATTGAAGAACAATCTCTTCAATTTTCAAGGAATGCAACTCCCTTAGAAATGTCCCCATTAATTCTAATTTGCATGTGTCGTCTTCTTAAGTGGATCATATTGCTTTGTACGGGAGTCATCTTGCTGGACATGGAAAGCATCAGGAAGGACTGGACCCAAGCTGTGCTGTCTCAGCAAGGCTTATCTCAGCATGCTTATGGAGCCTGCTGC